GGGACTGTAGAGACGGCTCTGCGGTTAAGAGTCCATACTACTCTTGCAGAGGACCAGTGTTTGGTTCCTAGTACCCATAATGGGTGGCTTATTAAGTCTGTATAACTTCAGCTCCAAGGGATCTGCAGGAACTGCACACATGTAGTACACACACACACACACACACACACACGCACACACACATCATTAGGGCTGGAGAGACTTTTCAACATTTAAGAGCACTTGCCACTCTCCTAGAGGGCCTGAGCTTGGTTCCCAGCACCCACACCAGATGGTTTACAACTGCAGTAATTCCAGTTCCAGAAAATCTCCTATCTCTGGCCTCTGAGGACATCTGCATTCATGTGTTCAATCTCACACACATGCAACTATGTAATTAAAATAATAAGACATATCTTGAAAAAATAATCCTTTTTCCAGGCAGGGTGGCACACACCTTTAATCCCAGCACGTGCAAAGCAGAGGTAGGCGATCTCTGTGAGTTCAAGGGCCAGCCTGGTCTACAAGAGCTAGTTCCAGGATAGCTAGGGCTGTTACACAGAGAAACTCTGTCTCGAAAACCACCACCACCACCACCAATAATAATAATCTTTTTATAACGAGTGCAAGTCAGTACCTTTTCTATGCTGTATCATTAAGGAGCATTTAATAGCTATTGCTAACCCACAGTGGACAGGCGCTTTGGTGGCCCAGCTTGGTTGGGGATAGGGTGGCAGTAAGTTGATTCTACATCATGGGAACATGCAGAGCTTCTGGCTGTGACATTCAAGATTGTACCTCATGCCTGGAACATGACAGGTGTTGGTGGCCACAGAGTAACCAAACCACACAAAGCCACGTAAGACCCTAAGGGCAAGCAGATACTCAGTCGAACTTCCTTTCCAATGTAAACTCTTCCAGGAAGCTGGCTTGATCTCCCATGGTGTGGGAGGGGCAGAATGGAACCGGAGAGGATGAAACTGAAGTCCATCTGTTCCGCCCAGACCACAGACTTCTCTACCATTCGCTCGCACAATGTCTGCATAGCCCAGCCCACAGCACCCTTACAGGACCTAACCAAGGGGCCTTGCCCAGCCCGCCTGGGCATTAGTCGACAGCATGTAGGTTTCAGGGACATCAAAGAAGCTGCCGTGGCTCTGAGGGGCTCGGCTCAGCTTCACTACAAAAGAAATTCTAATAACTCGAGGCAGTATACATGGCCAAGGGGACAAAGGAAACGCAGCTCTGAACTTCAGCTTAGAGAAGGCAGGGGATGTGAAGAGAAGGGCCACTGTCACTTGTTGGCTGGCTACTGCATAGTGAACAAGACTGTTACCTTCCCAGGGGCTGAGAAAGCCATGGTTCAGGGATACCAGTGGCTGCTCATTCAGGGAACATCATCTCAGTCACCAGACGGGGGCTAGGCAGCAGAGGGCCAAGCAGCTACAGGGTTTCGCCAGGTTTGCTTTGTCTAGCAGGGTCTTGCTGGGATGCACTTGGTCCAAGATGGTCTTGTCTAGGAGGACGGGGACAGGGGCTCTGTGAGAAGGGTTATCTAAAGCAAGTAGGAATACATCCCTTCTAGACTTAGCATCTGCAAGCTATGTGGTAGGTTAGGAAGCCTGTCTGTCTTCTGTCTGTCTGTCTCTCTCACTCCTATAGCAGTGACTCTGCCCTTGACCTCTCTGAGCCTTCATCTGTTGCCTGTGAAATCAAAGATGGCCCTCTGGAGTACACACAGTGAAGGTCTGGTTCAGCCTGCCCATGGTGGCCCAGGTAGACTCAGCATACCTCCTCAGCTAAACCTCCCAGACAACTAGCCATTGAGCAGACTCTGAAAGCTGTTGGCTTGGCCAAGCATTGGCAAACTTAATGACTAAACCAACTCTCTAGTTTGAATTCAGCATCTCCTCCAACCAGTGCTGGGTGAATCCCAGAGGTGCACAGGGAAAGGTCTAGAATGTGCTGATTAGGAGGAAGGAGAGAACTCTTCCTCTTACCCTTCCCATCCTGGAAAGCTGCCCTCCCCTATTTCTACCTGTTTTATGCTTATTCTCCCCTTATAAAGCCCAGGGAAGGTCAGTGAACTGAAGAATACCACCACATGGCATTAGGAACCAGATGGATCTCAGTCTGCTAAGGCCCAGCTTGGTTGAAGCCTGTGTGAGCTGGACTCACCCAGTCCTATGTCCTCTAAACTGGAGGGAGCTGATACCTTACATTGCAGGATGGAGGTGCATCTGGAAAAGGAGAGTGAAGCACACAGTAGGACCTTAGCAGATGCAAGGTCTCCTGCTGACCCGTGCTTACTCCTGGGTTTAGGGTATACATCGGAATATGTTGGTGCAGTTTGACAGAGCTGTCAAGGAGGTTCCCACCACCAAAGGGCACCTCCCTTACTTTGGCATTTCCTTATTGTACCCTGTAGCAAGTCATGTGCAAGGTGGAATACCCAATAAATGTTATCTAAACCACGGGGGCACTTAGTAAGTGTTATCTAGGCCTGGGTTGAAGGGATAATGCCTGTCAGAAAGAACGGAAGACTTTGGAGCTAAACAAACCTGGGTTTCAGTTCTGGCGCTGTCAACTAGAGGAGCACTGTAGACAAAGAGACATATTTGACCTCTCTGAGCCTCGATTTTTTTACCCATTAAATGGGAGTAATGATCCTGCTGCGCAGGGTTGCTGGGAGAATTAAACCCATTCGTCTACTCGCTAACCACCCCAGCCTCTGCTCCAGAAACTCAATATATAGCAGCCATCAAATGTACGCACTTGGTGTCACATGATGACATACGCTCAGGAGAACCATAAAGCAGAAAAAGGGGGAGAGGGCTCGGGGGAATGACAATGCCTAGAACCAGTCTAGAGCAAGGGCCTGAGGGAGGGGAAGGGGGACCTCATGTGGAAATCAGACTGAGACTGCCAGGCCACCTGAAGGGAGTGTAGCCGCCTCAAGCAGTGTGTTGGTGTGCGACTGAAGCCACACATGCAGGGAGCCTGGCACGGAATTCAGGTGCTCAACAAATGCCAGCTCCCTATTTCCAGTGCTGTGGAATGAGCCCCACGCACGTGTCCCTTGCCTGAGAAGGAAAGCACAGCTTCCTCAGGGCAAGCCTGAGCCAAGCATTCCTTCAGCCAAAGATGCAGGCTCCGTTTGCACTCCACCACTCGGTTCTGAGCCTGCGCCAAGGCACTAGGCTCTGAGATGGACAAGTCAGGGAGGGGAACAAGGCGATCAAGGGCCTTGTCCTCATGGAACCCCAGAGTCACAGCAAGAGTCAGTGACAGAACAGCACGGTCCTATGAACAAGCTGTCTTGGAAGCAGAGAGTGTAGCTGCAGAAGGGTTCCTGCAAAAGACGTCCACGGAGGTGAGCCACTGAGTGGGCAAGCAAGAGCATTTCAGGTGTGGGGGGCTGGGTACAGAGGTGCAAGAAGCTAATGGCAGGAAGACTGGAGAAAATACACACAGCCCTTCACATTTCTTGGCATCTGCTATCTGAAGTGCTGCCTCTTCCCTCACTTGGTCCTTCTGACACTAGGGGGCTCCCACACTTACACACAGCATGGTATGACCTGCCTTGACCTGAGCCCCCACTCTGGGGCTCACCCACAGCACCAGGCCCCAGAGGAACGGACACAGTACCAGTCTCGAGCAATACGTGCACCTGGTGAGACTTGCCTGTCCCTTCCCGTACTCCAAGTGTGACCCACAGGTGGCAGAATGGCTTTTTTTTTTTTTTAACTGACTAGACTAACACAGATATTCTGGATTAAGAAGCTGAGTATAGAGCAGTGGAGTGGTGTCTCCCTCCGGTGGACTTGTGTGCCGTCGCTGATGACACCTCGGGTCCCTGGGGATGGGTGGCTGGCTCTCCCCATCCTAGCAGTAGCCATGGACACAAGAAGCAGCTGTACTCCAGTACAGACCAGGCTCTAATGCCATCTCTGGGACTGACGAGTCTGGGACCTGGCTGACAGTAGGAATCATCCAGTGAAAGCTGCTCAGGGCTTATTAGTAGAAGGGGCTCTCTCCCTCCTCAGCAGCCCTTGGACCTCAGGCTGGCCCTATGCAGACAATCCCTTCCAGAGGAGGGGGCAACTCTTTTCTGACAGCCGCTGGAGGAAGGGCTGTGGGGGTGTCAGCGGGGCTGCCCTAAATCTGACCTACAGCCAACCTGCTGCTTCTCTGAGCTACCCGCCACCAAACACACACACTCAGCCTTTGCCCCAAAATTTGCCCCAGGTTTATGCCCAAATACTTCCGAGAACTTGAGGCGGTGGGGGTGGGTGGGTGGCAGACGGGTTGACAGGGCCCATACAGTTTCCCACCACTGCCTAGTATCAGGTCATTTCTCATGTTCTGAGCTTCAACTTCGTGTGTAAAATCGGGGTGCCCTTCCTTACGAGGACGATTCTTTGCAGACAGGCAGTGGCCCAGAGCCTCGGCGAGCTGACCTGTTCTACCATCACTAGGTATTTTCAGCGAGGCGTGATGTCCCTGGCCTCCGCACGCCCGCCCCACGCCCCTCGCCCACCGCCTTTCTCCAGTCTGGGAAATTCTAGGGCCCTTTTAACTAGGGGGCGATGCGCTCCGCAGCAGTGGCTCAGATGGGGCTGGAGAACCCCCAGCTGAGCGGACACCCGAGCTGGGCGCAACCGGGCGCGCGTGGGAACGCCGCCAAGAAGTAGCACGTGTGGTGGGGGCGCCTGCGGGTTGCGCGCGGGGACCCGGGACACCCGCGACCCGCAAGACCCTCTGGAGGTTCCGGCCGGGGGAAGCCCCGATGGCCCCCGGCTTGCTCCTCAGCGACCTCCGGCTGTAACAAAGGCGCAGGGCGCACGGCCAAGGCCAGGAGAACCAGGCGGGGTCTGCACGGCCTGTCTGGGGTGCGGCTCCGGGCATCAGGCTCAGGCAGCCAGACTCAGACTCCAGCGTGCACCCGGGGCTCCGAGGCTGGGGCTGCCCGGAGAGGACCGAGCGCTCCGCGCCACCTCGGGGCGCGGCTCCGCGCGTACCTGGCAGGGTCCGGTGCACCGTGTTGCCCATCGCTGTTCCGAG